GTCGGGCTCTGTGCTGACAGCTCAGAGCCTGGATCCTGTTTCAGATTCTGTGTGTCCCTCTCTCTCTGACCCTCCCCCATTCATGCTCTGTCTCTGTCTCAAAAATAAATAAAGACGTTAAAAATAAATTAAAAATAAAAAAAGAGTGATTTTAGTAAGATGAAGGTTTATTTTTTCTTTACTCATAATGTGGAATCTGGACGTGGGCCATCCAGGGCTGGGATGGCAGCTCCTTTTGTTTGTTTGTTTAAGTTTATTTATTTTGAGAGATAGCGTGCGAGCAGCGGAGGGGCAGAGAGGGAGGGAGACACAGAATCCAAAGCAGGCTCCAGGCCCTGAGCTGTCAGCACAGACCCCGACGCGGGGCTCAAACCCACGAACTGTGAGATCATGACCTGAGTCGAAGCCAGATGCTCAACCAACTGGGCCACCCAGGCACCCCTTGAAATTTTTAATTTTTAAAGAGGCCCTGCAAGTTAGATAGCAAGTCCTAATGTGGCATTTAGCCTCAAGGTTGCCTCAGTGTCACAAAATGGATGCCAGGGCTCCTACCATCACATCACATTCTGGGCAGGAAGGAAGAGGAAAGGAAAAAAGAGCAACAGTGTACCTGCCATCTGGGTAAGCCCTTTGTAAAGAGCTTTCCCTAACCCTAGCCAGTGACTGCGCGTCACTGACCATCCTTATCTGCAAAGGAGGCTGAGAAATGTAGTTTTCATTTGGGCACGTCATCTAATAGTTCCATTTTTTTTTCCCTAAAGTTTATTTCTGAGTGAGCGCAAGCAATCATGAGCAGGGGAGGGACAGAGAGAGAACATCCCAGGCAGGCTCCACACTCCCGGCGCAGAGCCCGATGCAGGCCTCGATCTCATGAACTGTGAGCTCATGACCCGAGCTGCGATCAAGAGTTGGATGCTTAACTGAGCCACCCAGGCGCCCCACTAACAGTTCCCTTTTTAAGGAAGGAAGGCTACATAATGGGGAACTCTACCGATCTCGCAGGGCTATTGTGAAGACTGTATGAGATGATTTAGGTAAAGCGCCTAGCACCCAGAAGGTACTTTCTCCTCCACATCAGGGATGTGACTTTGGGATTCCAGGCATCTTGCTGGAATGGAAGATGTTGTTGCCTGTGGGGCGTCGAACTGTGTGAACTTGTCTGAGGTCCTGAAATCACAGTCTGCTTAAATTCAACACGGAAATAGCAACCACCACCTGCTCAGTTCATTTTTCTGCCTGAGGGTCGGACTTGAACGGTCCTGGGAGGGGCTGAGGACCCAGCGCTTGGCGTGGCAGCATGAGTTAGTTGCAGAAGCCTCAGAGAGGCCAGATTCTGCATTGGTGAAGTGAGGAAGTGATCACCACTTCATTGATTCATTCATTCATTCTGGGATGTTTTGTGCCGGGCCCTGAGTTAGGGGCTGGGTGTTCAGAGGTGGACAGGACAGTCAGGACCCGCTTACAGAAAATGGGGGAAAGAGACCAGGTACACAGACATTTCCAGAGCATGTAATTATGGGGGACATCGTATATGTTCCCGTGGAGCTATGGTGACACCAAGGGTATTTTGCCTCCTTCTGGTGAGAAACTGAGTTTTGAAGTTCACATAGGAGTTCTCTAGGCCAGTGAGTTCCTGGACCAGCAGCATCAGCATCACATAGGAACCTGCTAGAAATACAACAGGCCTACTCAGACCTACTAAATCAGTAACTCTGGGGACAGGAGGGGAAAAAGGTGGTTACTTATGTGATTCTGATGCACAAAGTTGAGAACCTCTGGCCTAAAAAGAGGCCAAACCATAACGTCACATGCTGGAGGACAGCTACTGCAATTAGAGCTTTTCTGGGGCACTTGGGTGGCTCGGTCAGTTAAGCGTCCGACTCTTGACTTCGGCTCAGGTCATGATCTCACGGTTCGTGAGTTTGAGCCCTGCATTGGGTTCTGCACTGACAGTGTAGCACCTGCTTGGGATTCTGTCTCCCTCTCTTCTCTGCCCATCCTCCGCTTGCTCTCTCTCTCTTTCAAAATAAATTAAAAAGAGCAGTGCCCGGGTGGCACGAAGTCGAAGTGTCTGACTTCGGCTCAGGTCATGATCTCGCGGTCTGTGAGTTCGAGCCTCACGTCGGGCTCTGTGCTGACAGCTCAGAGCCTGCAGCCTGCTTCAGATTCTGTGTCTCCGTCTCTCTCTGCCTGTCTCCTGCTTGTGCTCTCTCTCTCTGAAAAGTAAATATTAAAAAAAAATTTTTTTTTTAAAGAGAGTGCTTTTCCGCAGGAGCAATGACCAAATGATTCAAAGGACGTTAGTTCTAGTGGAAGAATGCTCACAGGTCACTGATGCAGATCTAGGAATTTGACATTTAAGAGCCCTGGAATGCCACTGCTAAATCCCCCGACAGAGACCAACCCTCCCCCCCCATCTCCTGCCTGAGGCTCTCCAGTAAGGAGATGCCCAGGCACCTTTGGGTCCTCACACGGTTAGTGCCAGTGGTCCTAATTAGAAGCAAGGAGTTACTTAGCAAAAGGGTCATTAGTTTCGGAATCAAGGGCAATGACTCCGGAGAAATTGTACGCGTTTCACTTCTTCCCCCTTGGGGCAAGAGCACTGGCCCTTTAGTTAGGCTGGTCCCAACTCAAGGTAGCTTGGAAGCCCAGCCAATAGAGTGGGAAATGACTTCATTATGGATTCCCCTGTGGCTCTTTCCCTTGTTAGGTGGTTTTTCTCCTCTGTGCCTACGTCACAGTGTACATGATCTATGGGAAATTTCGGAAAACATTTGACAGTGAGAATGACACGTTCCGCCTGGAATTTCTTCTGGTCCCTGTCATTGGTCTCTCCTTCCTTGAGAACTACAGTTTCACTCCCTTGGAGGTAAGTGAAGGGACGCGGAATACCAATTGCTAAGGGTAAACACATTGCCGAACATCCTTCCCTCTGATCTTTTGTAAGGTCTGGGCTTGTGTTTTGGTACAACCGTGACCATCGCTTGTATATTGTTGTTAGTTGAGAAATCGGTAATAAGCTATTCACATGACTCCATTTGGAAATGGGCGCATACAAATAGTCCTGTGGATAAACAGAGCAGGCATCACAGCACCACTTATAGTTATTGAGAACTTCTGTCCCAAAGGTGGACACCTGAGCACAGTCCAGGCCGAGAAAGTAACTCAGGGAGGTCTGGGCTGTGGACCAACAAACATGAACTTGCGATGCTCGTGCATTGTGAGAAACTATGGCCTCCATTAAGGCGAGTTTATACACTAAAGTTCTGCTCCGATTAAAAAATTATGTTCGAAAATGTCCATGTGATGTGAAAAAAAAAAGTTTACTTGGAACTTTTCAAATATTTCCTATTTACAGGGCAAAGGGGGTGGAATGGATTACATTTCGGGAACTTTTTTGTTTCGTTATATCCTGTCCCGTGAACGTTTTAGTAATTACCTTCTTGTGAAGAGATGGCCCCCTTCTTGGTCTTGATCAGCCTCCTCCGGCCTCTTCCCTCTTTGGCTCAGATCCTCTGGACTTTCTCGATCTACCTGGAGTCCGTGGCCATCCTGCCCCAGCTTTTCATGATCAGTAAAACCGGAGAGGCTGAGACCATCACTACTCACTACCTGTTCTTTCTCGGGCTGTACCGGGCACTCTACCTGGCTAACTGGATCAGGCGGTACCAGACTGAGAACTTCTACGACCAAATTGCAGTGGTGTCTGGAGTAGTACAAACCATCTTCTACTGTGACTTCTTCTACTTGTACGTGACCAAAGGTAGGTGCGCGGCCACAGCAGTGTTGCTGGCACTGGCAGGTGTCACCCGTTCACTAGTTGAGGGAATTTGGGAAGTGGACATAGCTCCAGGTCTCTGCCCCTCGTGGTGCTTTTGTTTCAGTGGGATGAGACAAACAAGTGTTGTTAAGAAACAAGCACCACGAAGAACTACAGACCAGGACACGGACACACATGATATACATAGAGAGGTCGGCTGTGAAAGGACATCGGACAGAATGCTTGTTAGATATCCAAGGAACATTCCAGAAGAATAGCTTGTGCAGGAGCCCTAAGGCAGGAACCAGCTTGGTGTGCTAAAGGACAGAAAGGCTAGCGTGTTCAGAATCTATGAACCTGGAGAGATCAGAGGGTAATAATGGGTTTGCGTCGCACAGGGCAGCCACCGGAGGGCTCATTTACAGAGCCAGCAGCTGCTGGGCAGAGTGAAGGGCGGCCGAAGCAGGGAGACTTGTTATGGGGCAGGTGTGGTTGTTGGAAGAGGTCACCAGTGGGTGGGCAATCTTGAGCGGAGAGGAACTGGATAGATGTGAAACCGAAGTGGAGGCCAACTGCATTTGTGGCCTAAGGGAGAGTGGGATCAGGAACATAGGTGGGGCATAGGGGTGAGGGAGTCTGTAGGTAATCCATGATGAAGCTTCCCCCTTGGCTGTAACATGTAGCTACTGTGGACTGGGCATTAGAGATCCTAAGGTTATGCAGTTAAAAGGGAGTTAGTGTGGTGAATTCTCATTTCGTCTCTATTTTCTCCTAGTCCTTAAAGGAAAGAAGTTAAGTCTTCCAATGCCAATTTGAGGGCCCCACAGATGGTTCTACGCCTTCACGAGGACACAGAATAAACTCTTTGAAATAGTCTCCTGGACGACCTCTACAGGACTCAGGCCTAATGTCAGTCAGAAAAATGCTTAGTGGGGATATCTCAGCAGAGCACTGATCCACGTAGAAGACGTTCTCACCAATCTCTCCCTTAAATTATAGCTGCAGTGAGAAATCCAGGCCAATTATACGAGCATGGTGCCTGTCAGCTGGACATCAAGAAATCTTAGGTGCTTAACCCATATACGGGTGAAATAACCTTGCTCTCTATGGCCCTAGTGTGAGCCTCCCACTAAGGAACAGTCAGTCCCACCTGGAAAGATGTCTCTCTGTGTAGAAGACAAATGCCCCCAAAGACCAGACTTCAAGAAACGCAGGCTGCTGTGGCGATTTTCACTTCCCAGACAGGAGACCAAGTTTAGGCAGGGATACAAAGCTGATGGTCTCACAGGGATGAAGTGTCGTTACTTCACTTCTAACCCGCCTCCAAAAGCCAGACAAGAGCCAAATAGATCAGCTTCCGCCAGACTTCAGTAGTCGTGTGCCTCAGCTCTAAAATGGCCTTGCGTCTTGCCACGGCTATGGCAGCTCCACACGGAGTACTTAAATCCAAGCAATAACCTAGGTGGGTACTGCTACCATGAGGACCATTCTATCAGTGAGGAAACCAATGCTGAAGCCTTAACCTACTAGGTGTCCTGCCTCGTTGCTTTGGGATTCAAATCTTCCCGGTAAGACCCATCAACCCCACCTCCCTTCCACGTTTTTAGGTGCTAAGGTTACTACTCAACCCAACACGCCCCAAACTTGGTCTTGAAGCGAATAAAAACTGTAAGGCAACTACCGCTGTCCTGTGGTCAGAGAAGTTTTAAGCAATAAAAAGCTCACACCTTATTGTCAACAGTGTTTTATTTATACCTACAAAAGAAAACAAGATGGTATCAAAAGGACAATTGACAAACTAAGAATAGTAACATAGCTCTTAGAATCCTGTGCCTGAACATCACACATCTACAAATCTTTCAAGTCTTAATGCGACAGGAATGTGTTCAGAGACCAGCAAGAACATGAATAGAGCACTGATCCCAAGCAAAAGCCACCAACCTTTTAGATGAGAGAAGTCCACACAACGAATGGTTAGGGAGGAACTGGGGAGAAGCAGCCCCAGAGCTTAATATTGAAATCCTTTCCCTAAATGAGTTTCGACCGTGACTGCAGTAACTAGCCTCACACGAGGACTCTTCTGCTCATGTTCTGAAGCAAAGGCAGAGCCTGAATTATGAGGGACAGACGCGGAGGCAGAAGAGTTACTCTAAAGCCGTTTAGGAAAAACTCTGCTCGATCTCAGCTGCGCTCAGGCCACGATAGCTTTTGAGATTCGGGATATGCTGTTATTTTGACCTTATGACCACAATATCCCTGGTGGAAAAAGGGAAGCGAGTGGCAGACCAAATGCCGTCTGCGGGCCCAGAGGCCTTCGCCACCAAGGGAGGCTTTAAGACCTGCGAGAGAGTAAATGGCACCCCTTACAGTGGCACCTCTGTTTAAAAATAGTCACAAGTCTGATGTAGAAAGAAATGTCTACAACGGACTGGTCAGTGCTCAGACAAAATTTTTCTGTGGCGGGGGGCACTTTGGTTTGAAAGCACAGAGCAGTTCTGCCCAAGTTTTCCTGTGCCTACCATCCTCCCTCGGCCTCAACTTCTATAAGGGGGGAAAAATGAGAAGTAAAGGAAGAAGAAAGTGTGGGGGGACTGGGGGGAGACGACATGTCAAAGTTCTCACATGCACAGATTTCAGCTTATGCTGACAACCTACCTGTATGTTGCACATTCAACCATACTTTTCAGAACCCCTCAGAAACCATCCCTTCTCTCTCCCTGAAGAATTTTAAAAAGAAAAGAAAAAAACAAAAGAACCTCAAGTATTTAGATATTACAAACCAGCAAGCACCCTCAGGCCTTAGCCAAAGGACGCAGTGGAGCCTTCCCCCTTGAACTACATTGTTAATGAACGATACCAATAGCATAAAAAAATTAATAGTCCAACACTGGATATGGAAGAGGTTTCTGGGGCTGTCTGGTTTCCCTGTCCTGTTACGGTGACCACAAGAGCAGAGAATTCTTTCTAGGCCCGTGTGCTACAGGAAGTCTCAGTTAAACAGTATCATTCTGAAGGGGACAAACTCACCTACCTTCGGAAGGAGGAAAAGTGAAAGGACTTAGGCTTTAGTCCTCTGTAACTTCTCTTAAGCACTACCTACCTGTAAAAAGCTGAGTGCAAAAGGATGCTGAAGAAAATGTGCATCCCAAAGCTGTTACAACAAAGCACTGCAGAGAAGAGTATGAAGAGAATTAAGAGTTCTTTCTTAACAGACCCCGAAGGTTCTTTATTCAAGAGAATCTGGCCGAAAGGGCAGAGTAGCTGGCAAGAGTTGCTTTTATTCTAGCTTTATAGACACGGAGTTTAAAAAGAAACTTTGCCACTGAGTATATTGTTTATAATTAAAAGTGGTTTTTACACTGCAGGTGAACGCATATGTAACTGGTTAAATTATTTAACTGGTTAATAAATTTTCAGTGAGCATTTACGTTCATTCTGCCCCGAGCAACTATCTAGTTGGAAAATGAATTTCACAGATGGTCCCTGGTTATGTGGGGAAGAAAACTAGGCAGCTTCCACCCAGACGCCGAGATGCTACGTTTAACCATTTCAATAAACACTTGGGGTTTTTAAAAGACACACTTAAGAAACTCAGACTCAGCAATTCAATGTCTAACCTGACTAAAATGGTTATTTTTCAGTAATTGGGAAGGGGCAAGGCAGAATATAAGGGAGACAAAAACCAATTAGGAATTTTTTTAACTGTCAAATGCACTTAACGAGCAATCAGCCAAAATGACAATGGCCAGTGCATTGTCTTAAATACTCATCAGGCCCAAGGAACATTAAAAAGTATTACAGAATGTGCAGGGAATTCCCTCCTGGTTTTCTAACCCAAGTAACGAAAGCAATCTAAAGCACAGATGCCACCTTCTTCTGCAGAATTCAACCCTCTACCCTCCCCCCCTACCCCCAACTCAGGACAACAAAAATGGGCTCCCACAAAAGGGCCTAATACCTTACTTTTTCTTTTAAGATGAAAAATAGCTCAAGTATCCTCAACATGCAAGAAGTTGGGGAAAAAAAAAAAAGAATCTCTTCCAGTCGGCTATATATATGTTTTTACAAAATCTGTTATTTCAGACTGGATCATTTTGGCGGACAGAAGAAACCTGGCAGTGAATTCTAACTAATCTGCATGAAAGACAAATCACAATGGTTGGGGGGAAAATAAAAAAAAGAAAGAAAAGGGGAAGAGAAATAAAAGGGAAAGACAGCGTTCCTTTAAATGTAGTTAAGTCTGCGCAAGTCACTACCACTCGAGTGGTTTCATTTACGTGAAGGGGGAGGGGGAGGAGGGGGAGGGGGGTATTGATAGGCCGTCTGCCCCATGTAACCTATCATATTGGTAGCTCCCGGAGGCTGTGCGAACTGTTGTGACATCAGTGGCTGTGGCTGCTGCCCAGACCGGCCTATCCCACTAAACTGCTGGCTAGAGCTCTGTGAACTTCTCCCAGTTGAGGTGGTGCTACCAGCCCCGTAAGTGCCAGCGCCATATTCCTGGGCTGTATAGCCACTGGTGCCATAAGCAGCTGCCCCATAGGTGCCTTGACCATAGGTGTATTGGCCTGCTTGCGCTCCAAAGGCAGAATTTGGACTTCCATAGCCACTGCCGTTAGCATAACCGGCTCTATCGGTTTCACTACGATCCCGATAGCTCGCAGAGTCTCTCCGGCCACCATCCTTGACTCCTCGAAGCCTCCGGTCACACTCATCCTGATACATCAGATTGGGATTGTTGGCAGAAGAAGTGGTCCGGTATCGAGAACGACCTCCTGATGGGAGGACACGAGGAGTTTTTAATGCCAGAAATACAGTCCACACACGACCACGTGTAAAAACTTCTACCAGGTACAAAAGCAGTCAACGTTCTTTCTTGATCTGATTTTTACCCAGGCCAGCCTCCAAATCCGTTACTTTAAAATATACCCATCATTTGATTCTTTAATAGGACATATTCAAAAGAATGGTAAACGCGAAAAGACATTCAACTTCTCACCATTATAAATCCTTTTCTTTGAGGATTATTAAGAGACACAATCTTACAAATGTAGCAACAATGGTAAAGAAGTTGAGGTGACTTACCATAGATTAAAAATAAAAAGACAGTGGGGCGCCTGGGTGGCTCAGTCAGTTAAGCGTCTGACTTGGGCTCAGGTCATGATCTCACAGCTCGTGAGTTTAAGTCCTGCACTGGGCTCTGTGCTGACAGCTCAGCACCTGGAGCGTGCTTCAGATTCTGTTTCTCCCTCTCTCTGCCCCACCCCTGCTCACACTCTGTCTCTCCTTCAAAAATAAATAAACATTAATAACAAAAAGATAAGCAGCCAAGTTGGTATGACCCTACGAGGACCGTCTACTAGCACACACCAGCTTGTACGTTGCCCCGTGGGCCTAGCCGCATCAAAGTTATCTCACAAACTTGAAGTTCCTAGGCTCAATTCCAAACCCAGTTACAAATAAACCAAAAACCTTTTATCTTAAAAACCGTTCAGGTAATTCAGACACAGAGCTTTAGCATGCAGTAAGTTTGGGACAAAAGAATACCAAAATAGTAGTTCAGAAGCTACGGCCCTAGCCTATTTTGCAACTATCCAATTTTTTTTAAAGTAGGCTTCATGCCTAGTGAAGAGCCCAAGGCGGAGCTCGACCTCATGCCCCTGAGATCAAGACCTGAGCTGAGATCAAGAGTTGGGATGCTTAACCAACTGAGTCACGCAGGTGTCCCAGAACTATCCAATTTTTATATTCGTTAACTATACCTGTTTCTACTGCCACAAAACGATATAAAATTACTGATCTCTTCACATGAGAAACTGAAAGCCTAATACACTAAAGTTTTTGAAGGTATTAAAAATAACCGTAATTCACCTGAATTTTGAACATGCACCATATACTTCACAACACAAAAGTCCGTTTTATATTACTGTCTATGGAAATACCATGCTGCTAGGAGGCCAAACATGACAGCCCCCCCCCCCCCCCCCC